TCATATCTGTAATTTTTCATAGTTAATCTTAGTTGCATTTACATCGATAAAAGGGAAGATAATAAAATAGAACCATGAATCGCAAACAGTGATTCGATTGATGATAATGAAAGAATATCGAGAGAGAAATAGTTAATTTTGAAAGAACTTACTGTCAATCTTGCAACTCGAACTGTCTTTCTAGTTGTTGACGGTGTTTTTACATGTAGTTCAAACTCAAACAAAAATAACTAAGCGTCTGAGAGTATAATAGATGAATTTGGAATTCCGCTTTAACGATTAACATTATAGGAGCGAAGTGATTCTAAGGACATTTATAAGGCAAGGTTGGATGTAATTCAATTTCAAAAATTCTGATTGAGGGGACATTGTTCATGAAATTCATGATAAAAGTTGTCGCATATTGTCTCACATATTCATAAAAGTATTTAACTTTCACCATTTTGTCATATGTTGTTTCTCAAGTTCATAAAAATATTTTACGGAGAGTAATACCTCAACAATCTTCCCCATGACACGCCAACTTACTATAATGCTATATTTCTCATTTTATCATTTTCATTTATAGTGGTTTTAATAACAATTATGTGAAAAAGTAATTATGATATGATTGTCTCAACTAAGAAATTTACGTCAGTTAAGGGGACGATAAGTGAGAGATATGATATGGTGGTGAAATTTGAAATTAAATTGGAATTTAATATTCAATAGAAATAAATTAAAGTTTAGTGACTCAATCGAAATTTCTCTGGAAGCTCAGTGACCGCTTATGGAAATTACCCCTAGCGTCCCCCTAACCCAAAACCTTTAATCCAAAGGCGCACAGCTGAGAATAAAGAAGACACAAAGATGGAGTCAACATTACTCTCTTTGAATTCTTTGTGCCTCTCCAAGTCCTTCGTTTCCCATTCTACCCCTCTCACCCACAGGCACTTTTTCCCGAATCGTTCGAGTGAACTCGCTCACCTCCAGTTCAGGTGCAGCGAGTTTGGCCGGATTTGTTCGGGTCCTGCTGTACGAGGTATTGTCATTGTGGACCCACGCTGGACCAAATTGCAGTGCGCGGCTAGCTCTGCGTCCTCGTTTACTTCCGATGGCGGAGGCTCTGATGGAATTGAGGGGAATGTCGGCGGCGGTGACAGTGATGATTCGCAGAAGGGTAGTGAGGGGAAGTCGACAGAGGTGTCCCCGGGGGATGATGATGCTTCTGCTGTCAATCTTGATTTTATTGTTCTTCATGTTGGAGTAAGCTCATCTTATTTCTCCTCAAATTTATCTCCCTAAATGTAAGGGTACAACTTCAAATAAATGAGCTACGCCGTCTTCAAATTTTAAATGAAATATTTGGTTAGCCATAAATATAATTCTTTAAATTGAGAATTAATCATAAGTCACCCAGTAGCTTGATGGACGCGCTATTCTGATTCTGGAGATGATGTGCTTTTAATTGAAATTTGAAAGGGTTTTTAATTTATGAGTTTTGATTTGTAAAAAAAGAAAAAAAAATTCTCTTCTTAGTTATTACACGAAAGGATAATTTCTTGAGTATCATGAATTATACGTTCAGCAACATTGGGTAATTTGCTTGCCCTTTGATTGTCTGTTTGAATGAATTTTTATTCTTTTGTTCTGTATGATATAATTAACTTTTTATGATATTTCAGGGAATGACATGCGGGGGATGCTCAGCAAGTGTGAAGAAAATTTTAGAAAGTCAAGTAAGTTGTAAGTGCATAAAATCATGGTGCATCTTTGAGTAATTTTGATACCTGCATATGCATGTCCTAATAATTGTTGAATATTAGGGTAAAAAGAAGCTTCATTGTTGTGCTTTTTTGTGTTTTGTGTAATGACTTTGGTTAATCTATTTCATGATCAAAGATACCCTTTTTGCTAGCTTTTCAGGGATTAGAGGAGAGTTTATACTTGTTTTTTCTTGCCCTCACATGTAGTTCTCTACTCTTTGCTAAAATGAAAACTTGGGGCAAGAAAAAATTCCTCTGGAAAGTGAAAAGAAAAATCACTCTAGCTGGATAAAGGTGTGGAGCAGGAAGAACCATTTTAATAGAAGTATTGTGCTACCAATCTCAACTTATTATAACGCATAACCTACTGCTGCTGATAATTAGAATACCAATGAAAGTGCATCTAATATTTTGTGATTATCCTTACGTAGTAAAAAGCACAGCAACATTATTCCAAAGAAGATGTTGAGAATGAATTTTTACCTTTATGCTGTGGATTTGGTTGACTATCTTGGAGAAGGAAAGCTGCCAGATATTATAATTTTTGAGACAATTGTTTGACATGTCGAATGGAAAATATTTTAGAACATATCCAAAACACTCTTTAAGCATAAGATACTCTCTATTTTGAAGAGTCTGACCCTTAAAATTATGTTCCAAAAGGCTCTTTAAATTAATATGGAGAGCCAAATCCATTCTTTATAATTAAATGCATTCGAAGTATTTCAATTTTCAATGGAGGAAAGTAATATAATAATTTAAAGGAAAGTTAGTGAAAATAGAATATAAGAAAAACAATAAATATTTTTTAAGAGTAGTAAAACTAAGTGTTAAATATAAAGAGTCCGTTGGGGTACTTAAAAGTTTTTAATCTCTAAATTTATTGATGCTCTTTAAATTTTAGAATATGCTCTTTAAAAATGGAGAGTCTCTTTGAGACGCTCTTACAATATGGCACGTAGTTTGCTACATTTGTCATTTTAAGTCTAGGGGATTTTGTACTACAAGCCTTGCGGCCACAATAGTTAAGTAATGATTATTCTATTAAATTTGTGAACAGACGCAGGTTTCTTCAGCTAATGTGGATCTCACAACTGAGACTGCAATGATCTGGCCTGTATCTGAGGCCAAGGCTGCACACAACTGGAGAAAGGATTTAGGAGAGGTTCTTGCAAAGCATTTGACAAGTTGTGGGTTCAAATCTAATCTTCGAGGTTAGCAATTTTCTATTTATGATTTTGAAGATTTCATTTGCTCTGTAATTCTTTGTGCCTCTTGTGAATGCGTGATTCTTTAAGAGGACGTGTACCGGTCCATGTTTCAAATGCTACTGGACCAAACTAATGAGAAATTGAAAACACCAACTAGCTAGAAAAGCAGTCCGTTGTCCAACTGTCATTAATCAGTTATACAGGAAGTCCTGAAACAGTCCTTGGTGTTGGAATAAGATGATTGTAATGCACTAGAATGCAAGATGTTTTTTCCTCCTGTACTCTCTGACAAATATCAGTGTTCATGAATTCCTTGTGATTTTAGGAATTGACCTGAAAGTCAATGGTTGAATTACAAGAATCCTTGGGTACCATTGTCTCCTGACCTCATTGATATCATTTTTGTAAGAGGGGTTACAGATTCTGGATGAATTAGGTTCACCAGTATCAGACCCGTTAGAATCTTTTCTTCATTTAAAATTCAACAGACCTCTGCACATATTTTCTACATTAAAAGATTTGTCTACTGGGAACATGTTAGGTTATGAAGAGTTTTGAATAAAATATATTTAAAAAACTGATGATATTCATTAAGAACGTTTGCTGTTCTAAGTTCATAGAGGTCAATAAATCAGTTGTGATTTTACTAGAATAATTGAGCACTTCAAAGATTTATGATTTATCTGTTAGATTCCAAAAATGAGGGACATAAATGATGGTAAGATATAAAAGTATACAGTAGGCATAAGAAAGATTTCATGAAGCTTACATACTAATTTGGGAGTATTCAGAGAATTACGAGCCTACCTTGGACATTTTCTTAAGGATTATAGCTCATAATAATCTTTGTTTTGTCATTATTTAATTGTTCATTTGATGAAGTCATGTTCTCTTTATTTAGCCCCTGTTTGTGTCCCATTTTCTAAAAACTAAATTTTTTCCCCAACCTCATTTTTAACGGCACATTCTCCCAATAAAATAATTTTTCACATAAACCAATACCTACTTTTTAACCACATATTCTCCAAAAAAAAAAATTCATTATTACAAAATCTATTTTTCCAAAAATGGGGCTCAAACAAGGGCTAAGTTCTCTGTGAGGGGTATTTTTGAAATTTGAGAATATTCTGGCAGGAAGTCATAACAGGTTAGCATGTCCTAGTTGAATCTATGTTTTTTAGGTTGTCCCTTTTGATTGGGGATTTGTATTAGCCGTGAATTCCAGGTTCCTATTTTCTTATATGGAAGTTCTGTTCTAATCGAGCTGGCATTGGCAAAATGTTTTTTTTTATTTAGAATTGAATAATATTTATCCTTGGTGCGATTTTGCTTTCTTGAAGTTGTATTTCCCTGTCAGCCTATAAAGAGGTCTTGAAGTTGTATTGCACTGTCATCAGATGGACTTTGGCCTCTCAATCTAAATTGTTTCTACATTTTGTCCTCAAGCTCGTTCCCAAATTTCCCTAATAATTAAGCTCCTAGAACTCAACTTTTTCCCCAAGCTTGAGATATTGAAGAAGTTCAAAAATCCAATCAGTGGCACTCGTGGAGCCAGGATGGGTCCAGTGGGGAAGTTGCCCCCTCTGGGATTTGAGTACAATTCTAATTCGATTAAATTGTGTACAACATAGCAACAATGTTTAAGATTCGCAAAGTACATGATTAACAGTAGCCGCTTTATTAGGAGACTAAAACAACATGAACAAGCGAGTTTTTCATATGATCAGTGAGTAGATTGGATCTTGCATATGATTAATTGGCAAGGGTCATCATTGTCATTGCATTGTTTTTGTAGTCATTATGCTTCTAAGCAAAGATAAAGTTGCTCTATAAATTGAAATGATTAGACAATCAATTGTAACATTTTTTAATGATTTTGTACTATTTTGTTTCAGAATTTTCATTCTTAGTTAAGTCAAATAACTCGTGACCCCAACTGTATTACATTTCTGGCTCTGCCCCTGACTAGAGTATACTTTCTGAGCTGTTCTGCATAAAAAAATTTACTACCTTTGATTTATCATCACCTCTGTAACTTATTACACAAAGTTTCTTTGATCAAGTAATGTTACCTATTGCACAGCCTCTGTTCACTCTTTATCCATCAAGTTGTGGGTAAATCATGTCACTGTAGGTCAGGAAAGCTTAAATTGAACAAACGTGGGAAGGGGGAAAGAAAAGTAGTAAAGGAAATGTACACTGATTTAAATTCTGAAATCATGAAATGGAGGAAAATAAGTACTGAAATTTTGTCCATATATTTGAGAAGCAGAATTGAGGTTATTCGAATGTTGGCAATTTCAAATATCCATTTGTGGGTTGGATTGTAAAATTAATAGTTGTCCTGTTTTTCTTTTTTCTTTTTTTTTGTGGGGCTAAAGGAAGAGAAAAAAGGGAAAATGCCACTGCATCTATTATCAGCACAATGAGCTTGTCCTTTACTGTTTTCGAGTTAGACAAGACACTAAACAACACTAAATCACATTTGGGCCATGCGTAACTTGTACATTTTGTCATGGATGACTGGCAGATCAGGGAGCTGTTGAAGGCAAAATTTCATCATAACACAATGTTGTAGCAATGACCATTCTTCTTCATGGTAATGGTACGTCCCTATTAGAGCAGTATATTATTTTTGTACTTGTTCCAATAGTTCCTCGTAACTAATAAAATTGTTTTTCCGTGAAATGATATTTCTCTTTAGCTGCTGCTGCTGCTGCTGCTGCTGGATCTGTGAAATGCAGGCTTATCTATTAATAAAACTCCATGCATATGGATAATTTGCCTTCATACTAGTCGAGAAAATTCATTCCTAAACACAAGTCAATTTATACAACTTTTCTACCTGTGTTGTCTTTCATGTTGTAAGATCTAAAGAACATTTGATGCTTTGTATGCTGCCGTTTGTGTGCAAGATGGTTTTTGGAGACATCTTCATTTCGGCAACAATTTATGTTCGCAGGTATGTTTCTCTCCCCATTACTAATGTTGCGCACAGGGATGCGAACAAAATTTTAGCTTGTTTTTCTAGTGTGTATTATTGAGTGATCTTGTGGAGTCACACAGATTCAAGAATGATAAAGCAGGGATTTACGGAATGATGAAATATAAATTCGAGCATAAGGGATTTCCATAGATTATTATGAAGATTCGAGGCCTACTACATTAATATAATTCTATTTGTGTCAGAAAATATCGAAGAAGATCAAAGATTGGAAGAACTTCCAAGTATTCACTCGCAAACCAACCAAATAAAACTACAATTCATAAAATATTTAAATAGAACTAAACTTGTGTGAGGACCGATGTTTTAAAAATAGATCTAAACAAGGAAAGGTTTAAGGGTGTCATCAAATGGGTATCCACCCAACCGTGCGTTATCAGTTACCATAATTAGCTGCGTTAGCATAAATTAATACTCCTAATTAAAATAGAAAATTTTCCAGATTAGTTAAATTCCACGTGTCTACACTCTATTGGATAGCAGACTGAAGACTAAGACAGAGACTGCTAACTGATTACTCGCATACGAAAGTAACAAAAAGGCGCTTGCTTTATAGCCAAGGAATTGCACTGTACGTACAACGTTGCCCCTAACAAATATTCAATTCCTATTATATCCTTTTTTTTTTTGTTTGCGTGAATGGATCAAAATTACTACCCACAAATTATTCTCTCAATTAGTTTTATACACAGATAGGCAGCATGAAAATTTGTTCATATGTGAGTATTTTCATTTGTTCAAGTGCACAAAATCGAGCATGCATAGAACGCTCACTTTTCTCGACTCTTTAAATGATGTATTCGTATTTACATTCATTCTCAAGATCACGTTTTGAATGTGAAATATAAAAATTATCTTAGAATTGTTACTTTTAAAGATATATGAGATAGTGATAGTATCTCAAGAGAATATGTGACAGCAATTTGGTCCATGAATTCCATAGCTTACCTTATAAATGGAAATATGGCAAAGATCACCAACTACTAAAATATCATTAACCGTATGAGATACAAAGTAAAAGTAGTGCCATTATAAAGGGTTTGCACAACTAGGAACCCGTTGCTACAAATGAAAGGTCGAATAATTGAGATGTTTAAGTAGAACGTCAAGGATCTAAATGTTGAGACTAGTAACAATAACGATATGGCACCTCTTTTTGCTTGGAATGTAGAGAGCACTTTCGAGTATAGAACTCCAATTTTTTATTTTTTATGTTTTTTAAATGAGGGAACAAACAAACATAAAAATTTATATCTTAATGACATTATCATTAATTTCTTGCTAAAATTAATGTGATGATAATAATGAGGTACCAATTAAGAATGGAATTTAAGAGTCAAAGACTCAAAATCATAACTTATAAAAGATCACCAACCGTTAATAAAACGTGGAAAGATTTGAAAGGGCTCGGTAATTAAATATAAATATAAAAAATAAATTAATCTGCTAATTTTTTTAATAACTAAAATAAAACGATCAAAATATATTCTAGCAAAATATCAAAATAACTTTTTCCACGCGCCACATGCACAAAGTGTGTCGACATTGATTGAGTGGGACATATGAAAAATTAGAAAAGAGAATGAATTACATTCACGTCCCCAAACTTTGACCCATTTTATAATTTTGTCCCCAACGTCCATCTTTAGTTAATTAGCGGGTTAGTCTTCATAAACAATTTCCTTCTAAAAATGCAATTAAATTAAAATGATATAAAAACATAGATTACCCTTTATTTTAAATTAACAACAAAAAGATAAATCCAACGGAAAAATAAAATATAAAAGGAGCGAGAGATTTTTTCAATTTATGGACATCATAACCAAAACCATAATGTTAGAAAATGTGGGCATTTAGGGGATGTTTGAGCCCCATTTTCCTCAAAAAAAAAGTGCATTTGAAATAGTGTTATAATAGAAAAATATGCGGTTAAAAAATAAGGAAAAATTTTGGTATGCATGTAATATTATTAATGTCAAAGTCCTGTTGAAAAATATATTTTGATGAGAAAATGGAGCTCAAATCAGGGCTTACATTTCCTAGAAGCATCATAATGTATCTAAATGAAGCAAATACGAAACCCTATAAATACGACCATTACCATATGAAGAATAAAGAAAGAAGCAAGTTTAGTGATCCTTAAACCGTTTGTTAAACCTTGTTCTATTGCCTTGACAATATTTTTGATTGCCAATCTTCAAAAAAGAACAATTTTATCTTCAATACTTTTCAATATTGTTGCACAAGCAACATTAATGATAGAAAGTCAAAATGTTCGTCAAATTACTACATAGCTATCTTGGGTCTCACTTCAAATTTCTAACACCAATTCAAATTGTGAAGCAAACTCTAATTTCATTAAATTAGACAAACACGGAGCATGCGAAAATTTAAACACATGTTCGGATACATTCTATGGTTGATAAGAGTGAAGAGTTAAATTGCTACTAGGGTAATAAGTTAAGGGAGCAGTTGTGCAATCTTCCCCATAGAAATGCATTTACTTAATAATTAGCCCTTGTTTTAATTCCCATTTTTCAAAGAATGAAAATGAAAAATATAGTGATTACGAGATTCACACAAAAGATAGAAAGTCAAATACATTGATTTAATGGAATGGATAACGATCATATTTTTCATTTTTGTGGTGAAAGAATGAGAATCAAATGAGGGCTTAAATTTCTGTTAGGATACTAATAAGTTGAGGACCAGTGGTGCAATCTTTCTAACTAAAATGCTTTTCCAGCTCAGTATTTTTTTACATTATTTTCTCACTCTAATATATACGTGTATGTGTAGAGAGAGACAGAGAGAAAGGGTGAGAGAGAGTGAGTCTGTTCATTTCCTCCTTTAATGGCGTGAGACCGTACCAGACCAGAGACTGTGTATGCGTGTGTATAATGTACAGTATATATATGTATGTGTTCTATGCATTCATCTTGGCATGCTTCACCAACTCATATTCTGTAGAAAACCCAAATGAACTAAAAGAAAAGGAAAAATAATCTTTTTAAACAAAACGAAATTTCGCCATCAAAATCCCAGTGTCTTTCCATTTTTATCAACTACACTTTTGGGATTCTTAGACCCAGATGTTAAAAATCGGTAATCTCTCATTGATTTTTATTGGGTTCTTTACTCTTGATCATTTCCTGTTGTGGGTCTCTTGATTCTTGTACTGTTTCGTTGGGAAACTCGAGTTGTATATTTTGTGTTGTTTTTTTATGTATGAGAGCGTGAAGATCGAGAAGAAAAGTGTAGAAAACATGAACGATGAACTTGAGATATTACTGGGTGAGATCCCTCATGCGACATCATCATTGAATCTTCATAACACACATAGCAATGTTCATCATTATAGTCTTGTTGATCACACATCACATTTGACACAGAAAATGAATGTTCATGGTATGTATGATGATGAACTGTTGAGGCATAAATATGCATGTGCATCTTCCCCTGCTTGTGGGTTCTCTTTACAGTCTGATGGCTCTTCCTCAAGCTTGTTCTCTGGTGGGCGTTCATTTTCTGACAATGGATCACCATCCCCACCCCAGTTTGGAGAACTGAAGCCCCACCTGGTTTCTGGAAATGGATTCTGGTTAGATTTCAACAAGGCAAATGAAATTAACACAGTTGAGGGACGGAGTTTGTCGAGCAATTTTAGTAAAATGTACATTAGTAATGAGGAGGAGGATATTTCATTCTCTCCAAATGGTTTTCAATTTCGTGATCAGTCTGTGGATGGGCCTATTCGAATGAATTTTGAGAATTTTATGTCATCAGATGACTATAGAAGGGGCTTTTCAGAACGTAGAGGATTTAATTCCTCTATTCCAAGAAGTCCTATGAAATTTGATGGTGAGATGGATTCTGCATTGTTGGCAATACCGCCTGACTCTAGAATGGGTAATTTACTTGGACACCGGTATTACCCTGGTGCATCTGAAGGATTGTTTGCTCGAACAGAGTGTGGGAATTCAGCTTCGAGCCCTCAATTTTATAAAAATAATGTGCCAGCTGGAAATTATTTTCCCATGGGGATTTCTGCATCAAAGCCATCTTCCACTTTAAAAAGGCCTTCATTTGTTGATTCTTCATTCTATGCTTCGCAAAATAGGACGAATCCAATCAAAGACGTAGATCCATTTCACTCACCCTACATGCTTCAACTGGCTCAGCTAATACCTCAATTTAATGTGGAAAATTTACTCCATTATCAGCAACCCGTGCCTAACGGAAGAAATAGATTACCTTCTCATGTTAGAGTACCTCGTGGTGATGTTGAAGCTTTTCCTGGGGAGGACAGTTTGATCCTTCAAGGGGACGGTTTAAATTATGCAATTAACAAAGGATGTGGACATCCCAGTGTACAAAATGCTAAGAGTTCCATGCACGGGAGTGGCACCAGAAAGGCGCAAGAAATTGCAGGTCTCCAAGAAAGTGGCCGGACTACAAGGATGCATATCCCTTTCTCCTTGCCATCAAAGTGTAGCTCCCTGACAGATGCTCAAGGATATATATATCACATAGCGAAGGATCAGCATGGTTGCCGATTTTTGCAACTGATGTTTGATGAAGGGACTCCTCGAGATGTGCAGATAATATTTAGTGAGATAGTTGATCATGCAGTTGAACTTATCACAAATCCATTCGGGAATTACCTTATGCAAAAACTGTTGGATGTGTGCAATGAAGAACAGAGAACCCAGATTTTGCTTAGGGTGACTGAAGTGCCAGGGGAGCTTGTTAGGATCTCTCTTAATACACATGGGTAAGTCGCCAAAGTTTTGCTTTGCCATCATCATTCTTCATGTTGGTTAACCATTTTATTCTTTTTGTGTCAGCACTCGAGTGGTCCAAAAGTTGATTGAGACCCTCAAAACAGGGCAGCAAATTTCGCTAGTTATTTCAGCCCTTGAGCCAGGCTTTCTTGCCCTCATTAAGGACCTAAATGGTAATCACGTTCTGCAGAGATGCTTACAATGTTTTACAAATGAAGATAGTAAGGTATATGCATTTCTTGTTAAAATTTCTTGAGCTGAAAGTATTTAGAGGCTTGCAACGATATATGACTCCATTTTCCATTTTGATGTCATATAGCCATGTCAGTCAATTTTCTGCTACATGTACTGATCATAATTTCATAACTCAACTTTGTGTCTGAGCTTATGTACATCATGATGTGTAGGCTTTTTGATTTCCATTCATTTTTTGTGTTCATTTCTGTCATTTGTATGTTTGTAGGTTGAATTTAAAATATTAAAGAAGAAGTCGATTGGAAGAAATTTCATCTTGCATTATGATTCAATATCTTTTGTCATTTTAACATACAAAGAACCTATATGGTCGATCCTTGATAGGGTTCGTCTTAAAGTCACGTGGTTATCCACTTGCTATAGCTCTCTCATCTTCTTCACTCACTATAAGATTGACACAGCTTTGACAATTCCCTAGAATTTCTCAATTTAGAGGTGGAATTATTTAGAAATAAAGCATAGTTTGTTTTGAATGAAATGCAGCCCGATAGTTAGTCGTCATCCTCAGTCCTCAAACCAAGATACGGCTTTCATTTGTTTCGTGCTATCAAGTCATCAGATACGAAACTCATCATTCGACGTGTTATGAAACGGAGAGGCAATATATGATCACACATAGAAAATAAGATTAAAAGCAAGAAATAGATTGAGAGGAACCGAAGATTTTATTTGACAACCAATAGAGAAAATAATATTGTTACAATAATCTCAGCAATACATAAACTAAATGAAGAGTCTATTATTTATAGAGGACATGTCAAAACCCTAAAAGTAACCTAAAAGATGGAAACTATGTCAAAATATGTGTGAAATCAACAAAAAGAGAAAATCTCGCACGGCGCAGTCGCTCGAGCGAGAACTTAGCGACTGGCGAGTGATAACTTTCTCTGTTTCAAAAGTTCGTCTACTGCTCGAGCAGCCAGCTAGCGATAGGCTAGCAAAAATACGGTGATTTTTCTTTCCGGTTCATAATTTTGATCTCTTCAAGACCATGACTCCAAATCACGCAACCCTAGATCGAATTTGGGTTACAAACCAAACAATTTCCATTTTGACACAAATTTTGGTACAACACACGAAACTCCAAAACTTCTTCACGTGGAAAAATAAGTCCGACTGCAACGAAACAACTGAACTATTCAACCCGAACCAAATTTCTCCAACACACAAAATTACTCTTCCTCTTCCACAATATCCAACACGAATACACGACCCCAAATATCGGGTTCCCAAAAAGATCACAAAGAATTTAGAAATTATCAAATAGGGTCGAAGCACACCCTATAACAGAATCAACTCTCAATGCTTTCACCGAAGCCCCCTTGCTAGTCTCAAAAACAAAAGCATGCACAACCAAATTAGCATCCCCGTACCTATCTCTAATGGATATATCCTTAGCAGTTTAAATACAATGGAACCGCGGACAACGGTGGCAAAGCTAAATTACCTATATTCTTCAAACTCGATTGAGTAGCATTCTTCAATATAGACCTAGAGCCAAATTCCAAAGGTACAGTACCAAACTGAATATCTACTCCAATTCTAAACCCATGTTGACTTTTCTTCACTGATTCTGCCCGACCTTACAAGATGTATAACTAGGACCTCTTCCACTCCTTCAATACAACACGGACACCTATCCGGACTCTCAAGACTCCACCTCTTCCAGAGAAGTGTACCCTTTCGAATCAAGAGTACTCTACAAAATGAGATTCTTCTTCAAATCTGGAATATGTCGAACGTGATCAAGCGTTCTACATGTTCCATCTATCAGCTTCAATCTAACTCTCCCAGTACTAGCTATTCGACAAGATTCGTTGTTACCCATGACAACAACACCTTGTGTGACAACCCGAATCTTTGACTATTCGAGTGTCACTGAATAAAACTCAAATTCTTTCATAAGAACTAAAAGAAGAACACGGAATAATTTTTGATTTCATCAATAAATAAATAAATTGTGGTTTTATCCCGTAGTTGCGAAAAATAAATAAAGAGCATGTTTGAGCCACATTATAATGAGAATGAGAATGAAAAATAGAGCCGTTATGGGCCCCACACCAGAGATAGAAATTCAAAAATGGTGGCTTGATATGATGGATAACGGTCATATTTTTCATTTTGACAACAACACCTTGTGTGACAACCCGAATCTTGGACTATTCGAGTGTCACTGAATAAAACTCAGATTCTTTCATAAGAACTAAAAGAAGAACACGGAATAATTTTTGATTTCATCAATAAATAAATAAATTGTGGTTTTATCCCGTAGTTGCGAAAAATAAATAAAGAGCATGTTTGAGCCATATTATAATGAGAATGAGAATGAAAAATAGAGCCGTTATGGGCCCCACACCAGAGATAGAAATTCAAAAATGGTGGCTTGATATGATGGATAACGGTCATATTTTTCGTTTTAATGAGGTAAAAATGTGGCTCAAACAGGGGCAAAGAAAATAATTCCAACATAACTAAATTAGAAATGTAAAGTTGTGTTTTAAACACAAAATAATTTATTAATCCTAACCGTTGTCATCTCCAGGTTGATTGCCTCTAACAATCAATTGCTTGAAATGAGAAAATATCATAGAGTGAGATTTATAAAATCTCAATAAGTATGCCATGAGTTATTATCGTGTATAATTTAAAAGAGCATAATAATCATAATCATCATAATGGAGATACAAAAATTTTACTGAACATAGGTAGTAAGAATTCTTATATGTAGCGCTACTAGACTTCGGTCCCCTTAATATAATCATAATCAAATTGTGCCATATCAAACCCATAATAATTTTCTTGAAATTTATAACATAATAATAATCTAGTATAGGTAGTGTATTTATAGTGAAATTTAAAAGAAAGAGTAATAGAGATTGAATAGAATTGCTTGATCCTTCAACAATTTCCACCTCGACTATGTGCGTGTATATGTGTATTATTTGGACTGAAAATAATAGTGAGTGGTAGCATGTGAATGAGAAGTTAAAATCTTCACAATTCACCCTTTACCTTTTCCTTGTGCATCGGAGTAGTAGATCGGGAGGGGTCTTGTAGTCGAAAGTCTCTTCGATTCTTTTGATAAACTGCCTCCAGTAAGGAGTATATTGTGCCATATCAAACCCATAATAATTTTCTTGAAATTTATAACATAATAATAATCTAGTATAGGTAGTGTATTTATAGTGAAATTTAAAAGAAAGAGTAATAGAGATTGAATAGAATTGCTTGATCCTTCAACAATTTCCTCCTCGACTATGTGCGTGTATATGTGTATTATTTGGACTGAAAATAATAGTGAGTGGTAGCATGTGAATGAGAAGTTAAAATCTTCACAATTCACCCTTTACCTTTTCCTCGTGCATCGGAGTAGTAGATCGGGAGGGGTCTTGTAGTCGAAAGTCTCTTCGATTCTTTTGATAAACTGCCTCCAGTAAGGAGTAAGGGTTCAATCAATGTGATACACGATCTCATCCCTACAAAATTGATATCCATTCGCCCTTGCCCATTGGTAAATCTTTTCCTTGACATCTAAATATTGTATCAAACCGTGATTCAGGTTTCTATTATAATTCCTATACATCCAAGTAAAATGATTACACTTCTCAGTTTGACTTGTTTGACCTTATTCACTCACCATCTATTGGAAAGAAAGTAACGTAATTACTTTTCTTTTCAAAAGAACCTTTCAATTTTTTTTTATTTTTTTTTACACAAAAGTAGTGACAAAGGAATCAATTATTGTATCAGGAGTTGAAACTTTTAAGAAAATGTATTAATAATCATCCACAAATTTTTTCTTATTTTTACAAATGTAGTTATAAAGGGATAAATTATCGTACGTGGATTCATTATTAATCTTATTCATGTAATACATGATTATCTTTTATTGCAAACTTAATCTCTAGTTGAGTCATTCCCACAAAACATAACATGCATTTTAAATCACATAGATATCATTTATATATCTCATATTTTCTACATTAGTATAAAATCTAAGATTGATGTCTTCTATCAATATAGTAAATATTTATAACATACAAAATTTCATATTATTATTCATATTTTGTCACGATATTTATGCATAACACGCCTAAATAAAATCGTAACTTTATTCACATTTTGTCATGATATTCATGATTGCTATTTTGCATAATAAGCATGCTTTTATAAGTGAGATTACATGAATACTTAAAGTTCATACATACTTGGTTCAAGGAAGTTGAGACATGGAGAATGACATAGTGGCTAATGACTTAAAATTCTCATTTTAAATATCAACTTAGTTTCAAAAAAATGCTCATCTTAATTATTGATCCAAATTGATTCTTGGACTAAAGCTTTTAGATAGTATTAGGCTATTTAGATCAAGCCTAATATCATATCAAATTAAAGCTTAAATACACTTGTTCTACACAAAATGGGACAGCCCACTAATGGGAATAATTTTTTTCTTGTAATTTTTTTTAACTGTGTCACCGTTCACGTGGCCCGTCGCTGTTCATATGAACAATAACTTTTTTTTTTATAGAAAATTCGTAAAGCCTAAAATTTTGAAAATGTTAAGTCTACAGAACTAATTTAAAAACTCTAAGCTCTGATACTAACTGTGTTTGCCCGAATACTTGATTATTCGAGTGTCATTGAATAAAACTCAAATTCTTTCATAAGAACTAAAATAAGAACACGGAATAATTTTTGATTTCATTAATAAGTAAATAAATTGTGGTTTTATCCCGTAGCTGCGAAAAATAAATAAAGAAAATAATTATAACATAACTAAATTAGAAATTTAAAGTTGTGTTTTAAACATAAAATAATTTATTAATCCTAACCGTTGTCATCTCCAGGTTGATTACCTTTAACAATTAATTGCTTGAAAGGAGGAAATATCATAAAGTGAGATTTATAAAATCTCAATAAGTACGTCATGAGTTATTATTTTGTATAATTTAAAAGAGCATAATCATCATAATGGAGACACAAGAATTTTACCGAACATAGGTGGTAAGAATTCTTACATGTAGCGGTACTAGACTCCGGTCCCCTTAACATAATCATAATCATATTATACCATATGAGACCCATAATAATTTTTTTGAAATTTAGAACATAATAATAATCCAGCATAAGTAGCGTACTTATAGTGAAATTTAAAGGAAAGAGTAATAGAGACTGAATAGAATTGTTTGATCCTTCTACAATTTCCACCTCGGCTATGTGCGTGTACATGTGTATTATTTGGATTGAAAATTATAGTGAGTGGTAGCATGTGAATGTGAATGAGAAGTTTAAATAGGATAAGACAAGGTAGGTAGGCATTATTAAGGAAAAACCCATGATGGTAGAAATTGTTCCTTGAAATTTGTGAAATGAGCAAGAATCTCTCCCTCATTCCCCACGTAAATACTACATTCTATATACACATGCATTCACACTACACATTATGTTTGGTCAATCAAGAATATGACAAAAAAATATATCAAGGATTTTCTATATAAAGGTTTGACCAAGCATTCAACACTTCTTTAAAGCAAAAACGTGTGGGAATTAACATTTATAGTAAGTTTGCTACAATGTCCTAGAATGTGGATTAACCCTTAAATGAACTCCTAAATTTTCAATTCTGATAATTAGACCCAGAAATTCGAGTGCAAGTATTATACCTTGTGTCACCGTTTCATATATTTCAAACAAATCTTGATTGGGACACATATGGAATGCACAAGCTATATCCAAGATCCACTCCTCGTCAGGTTTGTATTCATGTTCTGTCCTTCGCACATGTTCCGTAACTAATATAAAACTTGATGGCTTTCTCATCAGTTGTCTGATTCACTCCCGTTTTAGAGTTCAACAGTGTAAATCTGTGAGGATGCATGCATCTAGAAGATAACAAAAAGCGTTTCACCTTCAATCATAAAAATAAAAAAAACTTCGATAGACAATTTCATAGAGAAAGTTGGGATAAATCGGATTCATGGTACTGTCTCAAACTAAGTATATAAATCAGTCCTCTCCTCAAAGGAAAAAGAGAATAAGGAGGAAAGTATTACAGTTCCCTGATTTACCATGCGATACGATGAATCCAGTTGATGGCCCTGTGGTGAGCAGTCCTTCCCAGGTGGTGAAAGTTAGAGTCATCTTCTGAGTCAATATCCAATCCTTCCCCGAACTCAAACAATAGGTAACTACGATAATTGCACGAGAGAAAAATTTATCGATACAAATGTAACAGTGGGGTACTTGTATTGGTATGTTGGTATGTATGCGGGTCCAGCTGGCAACATCAGTTGCCTTCATAGTCATGTCTTATGAGTTCGGATTCTGGACTTCTTTATTTGTTTATGCATATACTGCTTCCTTCATCTTCTGCTGTGCATTTTGATTAATTTGCACGATTCTTTTATGCATATTAGTCTAAGATATAATGCATTTTCTTTTAGAAAAGAAAAATTCTCCCTGTTTATTTCTGGCTTGGTTTTCTCTCCTAGTTTTTCCTGAGAACTGTAGAAAAGCTGCATAGTTGCTTCTTCACAAAGTACCAGGTCAAAAGCATGATTACTAAGGTGGGAGGACTTGCAAATATTTTTGGCCTTAGAAAGCTCGGAATCATTAGTTCCATTATCTTAGTGTGACAAATATAGTTTTCTGTGATTATTTTTTTAAGCTGTGTGCATCGTCATCACCACAAGGCTTCTTGTTGACAGACAAGTCAAATAAATTCAGTTCTGATAGTATCTTCTAGTTACGAATATATACCATCTTTTAAAAGGTTTGAAGTTGTCCAGGTCAGGCATGTTTCCAATTAAATAATCTAGAAGCTCTCTAAATGCCAGGGTTTCTGTCAAAAATGGTCAAAACATTAGTTTCAGGGGAGCAAATTGGTAAGTTTAGAAGCTCATTTCAGTTTTATATGATCCATGCAATATAGGGGGTTTGATACTCATCGCATCTGTAATATGCACGCTTATAAACCTAATTATGATTTTCCATTATTTTCTAATTAATTAATAGATTAGTTGTCAAATTTGATGTTTGGTATACTGGAAATTCATTCTAATGTTACAAACTGTCAAGTATGTAAAGTAGCATAACTGATGAAAACAGTCAAGTGGTGATATGATATGAAAGTTAACGTCGGCAGTGACAAATGTAAACCAAAACTCCAAACCTAAGTGGTCATATCCCTATGCTTAAATCTGTTATATTAATTGCCTGAGCTAGTTACTTTACCATCCAGAAACTGAAAGCTCATCTACTCAGAAGTGGGGATGAAAGTCTACTATCTCCTGTTTGAAGTGAACATGAGTGCCTTGTTGCTTCACTTATATGGTCGGGAAAGAAAATAGTTTGATTGTGGTTTTCCGTAAGCTCCACTTCAATAGCTACATACTTCTGGCTAGCAAAGGGACTTGCTTGATCTTAATTTCCTATAGAGGATTTAGTTGAAAGGGATTGTGTTGCGAGTCAAAGTTGTCTTGGAAAACCCGAATGTTCACATTAATAAAAAATGGGATTAGTGTAAATGATTTTTTTTTTTTTTTTTTTTTTTGGGTGCGGTTATCGTATATGGTTAATATGATCACAAAACCAAATTCAGTTGGCTAAAAAATGGGAACTTAGAATTATGTGGTGACAAAAAAATAAAAAAACTCAAATGTAAACCAAACTCCATAACCTAAGGGGTCATATCCCTTTTCTTAATCCACTATACGATAATATGATCACAAAACCAAATTCAGTTGGCTAAAAAATGGGAACTTAGAATTATGTGGTGACAAAAAAATAAAAAAACTCAAATGTAAACCAAACTCCATGACCTAAGGGGTCATATCCCTTTTCTTAATCCACTATACGATAATATGATCACAAAACCAAATTCAGTTGGCTAAAAAATGGGAACTTAGAATTATGTGGTGACAAAAAAATAAAAAAACTCAAATGTAAACCAAACTCCATGACCTAAGGGGTCATATCCCTTTTCTTAATCCACTATATTCCATAGCACAAGTGAGTTACTTTACCATTCGGAAACTGAAAGCTCATCCTCTCAGAAGTGGGGATGAAAGTCTACTATTGTTTGTAGTCAACATGAGTGGTGTCACTTCAGTCATTTCTGTCCAAGAAAGAGAAAATAGTTTGATTGTGGTTTTCCACAATCTCCGCTTTTTATCACTTCAGACAATTCTTGCTGGAAAAGGGACTACTGTTTGATCTTCATTTTCCATTGAGGGTTTAGTTGAAAGGGATTGTTTCATCAGTCAAAGGTGTCTTGGAAAACCCATATATTAACATTAATAAAAAACTGGACTTGATTGATTTTTTTTGTAATCTTACATGGTTAATGTCGTCAGAAGTCAGTTGGCTAACCAATGGATATTTAGCATTATGTGTTGATAGAGTTGATTTAACAGCCTGTAATTTTCTCACATACGATTTTTCTGTTTTACTTCAAGCAATCCAATTATGAACTTGTAGTTATCGTAATTGCATTTGCAGTTCATTTTTGTTGCTGCTGCAAAGTTCTGTGTTGATATTGCAACACATCAACATGGATGCTGTGTTTTGCAGCGCTGCATCAGCCATTCAACTGGAGAACACTGGGAGACCTTGGTTGCAGAAATTTCTGCAAATGGGCTTCTTCTTGCTCAAGATGCATATGGGTAACTATATTTGAAACGGATACCAATCAGATATTTTAGTTTTTATTCATTGACATTTGCTGGTATAGTTTTTGCAGTTCTTGAAATAAAGCACGACAGTTCTTGTTTAAACTTTTTTCCATTACCTGGTGGATTATCATATTTGTAATCACAAAAACCAGAACCTTTAGTTATTTGCATTTAGATGCCCAACGTTTCATCTACAAGTGTTGGTGTTCTTATTGAAGATGGATGTGTCAGTTTCAAGTGTTCTTAATACATGATGAGGACATCGGACGATGTTTACTTATTTTATTTAAGTTTTATTTATTTTCTTGGACTATTATTTAAATTTGGACTTGTATGGGCTCGGACCCAAGCTCGTTAGGGTTGCTTTACTATTTAAACCTATTTTGCATTGTAACTTTCAGTTGATGATGAATTAAAATTGAAAGTTGGTTTTGGCTTGCAGCCGGCCTTTTCCCCCCTTGCCTCTCCCTTTCTGTCCCCTGGTCTCCCCTCGTTCCCCCTTGTTTCTCTCCGGCTCTTCCCCCTTTCTTATTGCTTCCGCCTTCTTCTTCTTCTTCTGGTAATGCTATATTCTGCCTGTTCGAACTACTTTGCAGGAATTCATTTTCATCCTGCATCAAATTTGGTATCAGAGCCTAAACTTGGGTAATCTCTCATCTCCAATCCAAAAATCTCTTTCTATTTCTTTCCTAAGAACTTGTGGAACAACACAAACAAATAAACTTTTAGCATGAGCAGCCAATTTATTATTTTTCTAGCTTCTTCATAGTTGTTCCAAAAAAAAAAAAAAAACTGTTCACGTTACTCTTCACAGGCGAAAATTTCAGTTTAGGTTTTTTCTGCAATTT